ACAAAAAAATTATTTTGAAAGGTTTTTATTCAACACTGACTTTTCAATATAACTGATGTGTGTGTCACTCTTAGTCTCAGTGTGTTTGTCACTCTCAGTCATAGTAATTGACCATTATAAATTGAACTTGAACACAAACATTGTTTGTTTGTAAGCATGTTTGTTACTGCCAGTGTTAGTATTGGCCATAATAAAATTGAACACTTGAACATTGTGTGTGTGTGTGTGTGTGTGTATGTGTGTGTGTGTGTGTGTGCGTGTGTGTGCGTGTGTGTGCGCGCGTGTGTGTGTTACAACTAACCCAGAGTCTTGTTGTTACAACTAACCCAGAGTCATGTAGCCATGAACTAGCTCACCTTACAGCTAACAGGCAAAACATTAGCACTGACAACTTGCATGGAAAATATCTACACAGACACACAATAAACATAATACAAGTTTGATGAGATTAACTTCAAAGCAGAAATTCCCATAACAAAAACAAAAAAAGTAAAAAAGGTAACTTTCTTACCTCAAAATTGTTTTTTCCACTCTAACATTTGGTGTGTCTGCCACTGGGCTCTACTTTATCTCATGTGGAATAAGAACTAAACTGAGCATGTGCTAAGTGAATCAGGTGATTTGTAACTAGTTTCTGATTGGACAGATTGGAATTGTTACAACTGACCCGTGTTACAACCATCCCCGGTCTCCCCTATCTATTTGTATAAAAAAAATACATTCTAGAAACATATATGGTTACTAACTTGTAAGCCTAGTCTTAGCAGTTTATGCAACGGGCCACTGGATCAATTATGATATTCCATTTAAGCCCAGTAACAGGGTATTGAAGCATTTTCTAAACTAATGTGCTGCAGGATGATCAGTCAGGTATCAAACCTTGTTGTCCTAGGAGAGCACGTGAGCTTGCATATCTTTATCTATAAAAGCTCTTTGATTTTAGCTTAAAAGAACATCAAATGCATCTATCATTTATTCCTACTTAGCCAACAATGTTAAATCTAAGGATTGGAGCAGATTTGCTTCATAATCATATGCTTTTCATTACAGTAGGCCTACAGCGTTTTCAACAAAGTTGTTGTTGTTGTTAACCAAAAGACTGTGATTGGTTGCTTCAGGTATGTTTGATTGCAGTTAAATCTCCGAAGGAAAGTAGATCTCCAGAATTTAGCCGCCCTGATTTAAATTGCGCCAGGCCAACAGGTGATTTTCCTTCTCCAGCATCGGCGTTTGTGTAATATCACAGCAGCCTTGCTTTGGCTGCAAGACTCGACACTTCCCCCTACCGTTTTTGACCAGCAATACAGTCTATATTTTGTACACCTGCTCTCCGGTTCGTAAAGAGAATAGTGTTGAACATTACATCATTTACACCAAACTCAATCATTTCAATTCAAACGATTTGAAAAAAAGCAAAGCAAATGAAACCAAGTTTTAAAACTGCTGGGTTTTCATTTTTTGAGGAAATTTTAAATTGAGCCACTGAGTGTAACAAAGACGAGGCACAGATTTAGCTCATTATTAATGCGCGAGGCTGACAAATTAAGCGCCAGCCAGGCAGATCATAAACTAAAACCAGAAATGTTGTGTCTGAAGATATCGCCAACAATAATCGGTTCAGCGCCAACCTACATTTCCTAAAATATCATTGTTTTGTTTAGGTAGGCTACTTGTTCTCATTGCTGACCATAGTGATCGTTCTCAAGTATAGCCGTCTACTTTTTTCTCATAACCGCGGTCTTATCTTTTTATCTTTTCTTTTTTAGACTGCTGATTTCGGCATTGGCGCCTTTGTTTTTGTGTTGTAAAGCGAGCTTAAATTATAGAAAGAAAATAAACTTTACTGTTGCTGTTGTAGCCTATATGTGCCTATGAAATAGCATAGCCTAGGTTGTATTCAAAAAGAGTCTTCTCTATACATTTCTGAACAACATCATCATTGCACATCATTCACATAGCCTATGGTTATCTGACAGCTGAGTGACAGCATCCTTGACTCACAAATATAGGCTACTGACTGAAAAAAAAAGCTAAATACCGTTTTCTGTATTTAAACAATAAATAAAAGATGAGCTTTTCTGAGTGTTAACGCTTATAAAGTTGCTCGAAAACACAAAGATATAGCATAGTCGAGAGATGCTAAATCCTTCCTCTACCTTTTCTGAGAGACTTAGGCTATTCGCACATCCTGTGCAAAAGTAGATTATTCTCGGCGAAAAGTAAACACATGTCCAAGGAAAAACCCTCAAAAGCCAAACGATGATAAAAGAGAGTGAAATATTGCGTGTTTTACTGGGAGCTTATGAAGGCGAACGTTTCGATTCCAAAGCAAAATTCCTCGGATCTTGAACAGAACGTGAGCAGCGAGTAAATTCCTTGTCAGGATAAAGGAATACTCTACTGAATCCTGTTCATATAAAACATGCATGTTCTTTAATAAAATGAGAGGAAAGGACTGTTTAAAAGACATGGCATTCCCAATGAGGGTTTTGTGATCACCATAAAGAGAGAAAATCTGCCAATATCCAGTTTTTATTAGATAAGGAGTCTTCGATAATTAAAAAAAGCAATTTAGCCTATTACTAAAAAAAATTGACTGGTTCATGCAAATCCACTGGCAATTTAAAATGGAGCTTGACATTATTTGAAATTGAACAATCATTTTAATTTGGAAAGAAAGAAAATAAATTAATGTGATTAGACAATAGGCATATAGTCTATATGTTTATGTTCTTCACAAAAAAAAATCATAGAGTCGCTGAAATGTTGATAGTCAGTCCAATCTGACCGCAGAAGTTCTAAAAGTACTACTTCACAATATCACCCTACACCAAGAACATTAGACGCGGTTTCTATAGAATAATACTTGTAAATGTGAGGTAAATATACTATCTAAGAGGGTGTTTTTACCTTCTGATGTCCTTCCTCTGAAGTAAACTCTATCGTACGTAAAACGCAACGCATAAACCGCAATCTCCGCTTTGCGTAGGTCTCCTGTGCAGTATCCCTTTTCTGTGAATGACTTCCACCGATCGACCTGAAGCAGCTGCTTTACTGCGCTGTGCTGGAAAGACAAGGCTACTACAGAAGGACAGCTGCAATTCAAACGAATAGGGGTGCAAACTCTGCTATGAAGCTCCACCTCAAATGTTTGGCTCAGTGGCTGCGAGATCTGATGAAGCTCTCATTTTACTTTCTAAGACATTTCTGTAATAGAAACCTTGTTATCCTGTTCCAAATTATCAAAAAACATCGTCTTTTGGGATTCAGCAACACCCCTATATCCAGCCTGGATAGTCTGTCCCTAGAATCGGTGAGGTACCATGGCAATTAATTAACTGTTTGAATCGCACAATGTTGCCAAAAGTAGCAATATGTCATATCAACATGACATATGGTTTTGGTGTGGTGCAATCAAAAAACCCTGACAAATATGTGGTAGCCTACTATGTCATATGGATTGGCATGATACCTTAGCTATCATGGTAGCCTTTACTATTATTACGATTACCATATTCATATATCCAAGGTGTTTGCCTGGTATTGCAAGCCATTTCAAGGAAGTATCAAAGGATGTTCAAAAACACATGGGAAGCCTATTACAGTATATGTGTATAGTATACTGTAAATACATATAGGCCTTTATGGACCCAACAAATAGTGGGCAACCTTTAAATTTATATTTAGGCTATATAAAGAAAGTAAACACCATAAATCTGTTGGCTTCGCTCTTGAAAGTTGCTTTCATTTTTGATAACTGTCACATTATAGGCTGTGGAAATACGCTCAAACACTGCAAGCTGCAATATGCATTAAGCAGCTGGGGATGTGATGAGGGAGGTGACTCAAGAGTCAAGACAGTTGTGTGGTGCCACTGTCACATCCAGGTGGTGGCACTACAGTGTGTCTGACACCAGCATGATCATTGCAAATATATAACGGTAATTATTAGTGTAGGTCTATTATTTAATGCCTTCCTTCAGTAATTTAAGGCATATAAGAAAATACTTATTCCATATTCATGAAATAGCAACACTGAGGAACTACCTTGGAACAATTTGAAAAATAAATTATTTAAATTATAAAATATAAATTTATAAAACTGATATTTCTGACTGTTAATTCTTATTAGGCTGCTGATAAATTGCTAAGGCAACCATTGACTACAGTCAGGCAAAGGAACTTACTTGTCCAAAATAATAGTTTATTGATTATTATTGAGCTGTTCAATCAATTTGTAGGCCAAACTGGAAGGATGCTGTTTTAAAAGAATACTTTTTACTGTATGTGTAAAATAAAGTCAGTGGGTTAACATAGTTTTACATTTTGTTCTAAAACAAATTACACATGCATTAAATGTGAAATTTGAAGCCGCTGTGTTTAAAAAAAAACATAGGTTGCTTACAAGTTGTTAGCACCCTAAAAAACCTTGTTTTATAAAGTACAGTTATTTACAGTATACTTAGTTTTTACACCAGCACCCAATATTTATAAAATCGCTATGAGCTCAACAAGGTCACACAAGTTTACTGTAGAATATGTTTTTATAATTATATAATTATATACAATCTTTATACTATATGTGGTTATATTTTCTGTCACATCCCTGATGTGTCAACTCCATTACACAAATTATAAAGAAACAATAAGATAATTTCCCTCATTGTCGAGCCATTCACTGCAACACCAGCAATGGTTATAGCATATTTTGTTGACTTTGTAGGATTTTCAGTGTAACTGTGGTTCATTGAATTGCATAGATTGAGCTAAAAGGAGTCTTGAAACCATCCTGTAACCGTTCCCTCATTCATTTAATATTCAGATTAATTCAAAACAGACAGCCTAATTATTTTCAGTTTCGAAGCTTTTGTTCAGGAACCAGTAAGTCATTTGAATAGAATACTTTTCACCGTTTCTGCATGAATTAGAAATAATTTACATGAGCTAAAATCATACACATTCACAAGTATGTGGCGCCCTTAATAAACTACATTTCCGAAGAAACTACATTTCCTAAGAAGCCCTGCGTTCTCCAGGGATTTGAAGGAATATGGATTGCGCTTGCGTGGCCAGACGTGGCAGCGGCATCATGGCTTCTTGGAACCGATACGGGAGACGTAGGAGACTGGTCGAAATGTTCTTATTCTTGTCATTGGTGAGTCTTTTATAAGGAATCTTATGGAGCGATATGATCAATAATATAAAATGCGCATATCGGACAGATGTTTTGTATCTGACGTAAGACGAAAACGAAAGGAAAAGGGAATGATCTTCTGTCCCTCTTGCAGCAGTAGCTTAAAGTTGACAGCAGATGATAGAGACTCAAGATCAATCCGTCTCATTCATCAGTTCTCAGGTCTTGTTTTTGGTGGTTATACACCTGAAACTGTGTGCTTCACATGCATGACACATCACATGCTCACCGGGCAACCATCTAATGTCAATTCGAATTCAATATTGGTTATATCTGCTATAAAACGAGCATTTCTCTTATTTAATTAATGCTTATTGCTTTAATATGTCATGTTAAGAGTTTTTTTTTTTTTATTATTGTTGAGGTTCTGTTTGGGTCAATGGTGTAATGAATGCTTATTATTTTTGTCCAGGTTATGTTATAAAAAAATACATTAAGAATGCATACAATTCAAAAACACTATCCTCCTGTTATATGATGAAAAAGCATTCAATTCCTTAAAAAACATCAAAATGACTTTTAATTAAGAACTTAAAGTAAAAAAAAAAAAAAAAAAAGGTTGTGTAACTGTCTGAAAATTGTCCAAAAAAAGAGGCCTTTTTAAAAGATGTATTTTTTATTTCTCAAAAATAAGCGAAGTGATTTTGTAAAAAATATTGTTAATATTTTAAAAAAAAAAATGTTTTGTCCATCCAATCAAAGTGAAACATAGCAGACCCCTATGACTGTGTGTCATTTAGTTTTTCACTTTTAAGTCTTTTTATGAAATGGCTCGTTTTGTTTATGACCAGTGAATAAACTCTAAGGAAATTTGTATCCAAGTATTAAACAAAAAACTTGAACAATGTTTCGAAACTTTATTAAAAATAGTTCATACTGTAAGTTGTGTACAGTACCCCGTGTTTAAGGTGATCATTTTTTGTATTTCTTACTTGATTATATTAACTATAGCACTTAATCATTAAATCAAAATTGAGTGTTTTTCATATTGTGTATGATGCAACATGAATTCAAAGATGGAATGTGTGTGTTTTTTTTATCATCTTGACCTATTTATAGCATGGACTATATTTGACAGGTTCCCACATTACTGATTCAAAGTCAAAGTAAAAAGTAAAAACAACAAGTGTTCAACAAAGTGCTGTACACATATCATTTATCAATAATGCAAACAACCAACATGACTAAAATAAAAGGAATAAAAGACAAAAACAATAAAACAAAACTCTCACATAGTGTCAAATGCCAAACTGTAGTAATAAGTTTTAAGCTTCGATTTAAAAATAGCAAGGGATTCACTATCAACAACACATGAAACCATTGAACCAACTAACGTTCCTACTTCTCTATGATGATTATATTTTAACTGCATCTTACAGTTCGTGTTAGGGCAAGGTTTATATTTACAGTAGCAATGTTATTTCTTTCTTGTTCTGCTCTCGATGAACATGACAGAAGTGAGCTTGTAATGCTTAAAGCAAATTAACCCTCATTTACTTCAGTTTAAAGTGCATTAACCCTGTTTCACAACTGATTTGTGAATCAATGTGGGCCGTGTCCTCAACACCAAACTCTAATAGCTGCTCGGCCACGTCAGTCAACTCTCGTTACGCAGGAGCTTTCCTGTTTCACATCCTGTTCTGTGCCTGCCACCGCAAACAAAGGTACTCTCCTGAACTGATGGGACTTTGTGGTGGTTGGGTGGGGGAATAGAAGCCTCTCTCTGTTATCTGTGCTTCTCTCCAGCCCTCCTGCTTGTCAGAGCAATTTATAAAATCTCTTAATCTTGATTACAGGCACCCCACCACCCCCTCTACCCTCATTCCACATTGTGTGGTCCAGCAGCACACTGTGTGTGTATGGACACGACTAGCTGTGTGGTGCACCTACAGTAAATAACAACTCATTGTGTGAGAACGTTTGACTCATAGATTGACTGTTTCAGTTGCGGAGTCATTTCCTTCTGTTTATGAATTACCTACGTCAGCTTTGCAGAGCCGAAGCCCCCCCGTGTTGTTTGGCTCAGCAGGAAGACTAGGCATGTTTGAGGAGCGGTACGGGTTTGTGCTGAATCAGTGAGACCTTAAATGTGAAAATGAGATTCTATTTATTAAGCAGATTTGCGATGTCGTTTGCGCAGTGTATGGTAGATGACAGCTTACGCTGCTGATTAAGCAAGATGTTTTTGTGTTGAATGTTGATGTATGACCGATCTTTTTATTTTTTTTAAGTGTTTCCCATGCTGTGCAAAACATGTCAGCAAGGTCCACTGCTGAAACGCCGGTGTCCTTGAGCGGAAGATTTAATTGCAGGAGCAATGGCATCCATAAACCACAGTCAAAGATAACACGTTGGACATAATTAGATCACTGAGGAATTATATACTGTGCTATATAGTAGAGCCTTGCAAATTCTAAAAGTTTTAGTGTAGTTTTCTTTTTTCTTTTTAAATTCAATAATGATCTACTGTTAAAGGAATAATTTGCCCCCAAATGAGAATTTTATCATTGCTGACTCACCCCCTTGTTATTGATTTTCTATCTTCTCTGAACTACTATAGTTGACGTTAGAAGGTAGAATGTCTGAGCTTATGGTTTCCATGCAACTGAAGTGGATAGTAATTTATAAGGTTAAGCTGTAAGACATAAATTATTTCACGTAATTTGTTCGCTATATTCTAGTATTCTGAAGCCATGATCTGTACGATCAATATTGTTCATATTTGCTGCATTGGTTCAGTCATGAGATTTGACAATAAGTAAGTCATTTTTAAATAAGACACATTTGGACCTATGGATAAGTTTAATAATATTTTATTGGTGGTTTTCAATCTTTTTTGTAGCAAGCCATTTTCATTGTATGAAAAAATTGATTAAAAAAAGACATTTGTAACATTTGTTACAAAAAATTCTGTTTCAAATAAATGCTGTTCTTTTGAACTTTTATTCATCAAAGAATCCTGAAAAAACTGCATCATAGTTTCCACAAAATATTAAAATATAACTGTATTTAACAGTGATAATAATAAATCTTTCTTGAGCAGCAAACCAGCATATTAGAATGATTTCTAAAGGATCATGTGACCCTGAAGACTGAAGTAATGGCTGCTGAAAATTCAGCTTTGCCATCTCAGGAATAAATTACATATTAAAATAGAAAACAGTTATTTTAAATTGTAATAATATGTCACAATATTTCCAGCCTGACTTCGTCATACTCATATTCTAGTCAGAATGTGAGTCTGATACTGCTCCATAGGGCTTTGATTATGAGGCGTGTCTTAACCGAACCAGGAAAAAAAAAAAAAAACTCTGCACTCAATTGGATAGACCTACAACCAATCAGAGCAACGCAGTAAGTGACGTATGTTGAGCTACGCATAGTTGTCAACAGAACTCAACTGCACGCACGCTGGAAGTAGTAAAATAATGAGTGTTGCTTCTTTTACTTGGTCCTCTATGAGTGCGACCAAAGGAGAAACCATAACGACCACAGGGTTTTCATTGCGTCCCATCTTCTTAGCGACCATCGGAGCTAGCTGATAAATTAAACTTTTGCCGAATCCGGTAGGAAGGACGGCAAACACATCTTTCCGATCGACAAATGCCTAGATTGCAGTTCTCTGTTTGTCTTTTAAAATTAATGCGCTGTCGATTTCTTTTACAACAGACGCAATAGCGGAATCTATACATCTCAATTCTCCAGCTGCAGTCATCTCTGAGGGAAACCAGTTCAACCCAAGCGCTCTTTGATAACGTGATGATTACGTAACTGCAGATCATCTGTCCATCATCGTATAAAGCCCGCCCTGGCAATTTGATTGGCCAGACGATTTCTGAACCGATCATAATTACTCCTCAATGGATCGAGTCTAGACCGAACTTCCCGACCAAAAAATGTTGTGGGCGGGGTTCGGGCTGGCATCCAGGCTACAATATTTCAGTTTTTACAAAATTTTCAATTAAATAAATGCTGACTTGGTGAGCATAAGAGTCAAACCAACCCCACACTTTTAAACTTTAGTGTTTAATTTCATCAATGCATAAAATATGAAGAGAAAAAAAACGGGCCGGCCGTGCAAACATAGGTGATAAGATATTTTCATTACGTTTGATGTACCATTAGTCCATTATATACTACTTTAACCCGCTATTAGCCTTGCCGTGCTCTACTTTATCTCCAAATGTTATTTAGCACTTTGGAGTTTCAGACTTTACTTAGAAATCAGTTTCTCCTTTAAAATTCCTGAATGGATTTGGGGTTAAAGAATAGATTACTTTTGAAAGAAATGGAAAACATGTTTCTAAGGATTTCATTCTTCTGCATGTTGCTGAAATCTTTGTCATATCTGTCTGTTGAAGAATCGTTTATTCCCAAGTTAATGATTTACAGACCATCCCTGTTGAGTTGAAGAGTCCACACGGATTTCCTTGAAAAGCAGCAACTAAGAGATTCAGCTAGGAATATGCAGAAAAATGTGTTCCTCATCACCCCATTCCTTCCTTGCATGTTCTCTTCATTCCCTTGAGCCAGAGCTGCTCTTCAGATGAAATTGTAGCGCAAAATATATACTTTTTTTTTCTCCAACTTCTTCTGTTCACTTCACATTGATCGACAGGAGAGTTATCAGGCCTGTCTATCAAAGCTGTTCAGTGGATGATTCTAACAATCACAGTTTTGTGCAAAAGCTGGGGTTGTTAAGATAATGCCCAAGTCAAACACCACTGCTCAGGGAAAGCCAAATGAAAGTCTTTGTAACATGTACAGGACGTGATGATTGCCAGATAGTAATGGGCCCGCTCTATTGGTTGACTGTCAGGTTTGGAGTGTTTGAAGAATAGGTGGTGCACCAAAAAGGATGGAAACCTGATGTGACTAGACATAGAACACTAACTCTTTTGTCTCTGAATGGAGTTGAATGCTGCAGTTGTCTCTGTACTGAAACCATTTGTGTCTTTGTA